GTTACTTTTGTCTGACATTCGTACGTATGTCCAAATTGCATTGGTTTTAGTCAAAAGCTTTCTTCTTTTTTTTTTTTAACCGCATTAAAATTTGAGAAGTTTAGGCTGAAATCTCTGGTCCGTTTTTTATTTTTATTTTGGGGCTGGAAAACATAAAGGAATTGAAATCTGCGAGAGGCTTTCAACAATGGGAATAGCGGTGAACCTTGTTACGTACCTCGGTGGAACCATGCATCTGCCTAGTGCAGTTTCAGCCAATACTGTCACAGATTTCATGGGAACTTCCTTTCTTCTGTGTTTGCTTGGAGGCTTTCTTGCCGACTCTTTCCTGGGCAGATACAAGACTATTGCTATTTTCTCAACAATACAAGCAATGGTGAGTGCATATGTACTTCGATTGTCCATTGAACAAGAAAATCACTCATACTTTCTTTCTTTGTTCTTTCTTTTTTATTTTAGGAGGGGGGGGGGGGTGGTACAAATTTTTTGAAAAGTTTCCACACTGACAAAAACGAAAAATGATTTAGGGAACTGGCATGTTAGCAATAACAACAAAAGTACCCCAGCTGCGGCCTCCACCTTGTGCTGCTCATGCCAACTGCCAAACAGCCAACGGATTACAAATGGGAATGCTGTACCTTGCTCTATATCTTATTGCACTGGGGACAGGTGGCCTCAAATCAAGCGTTTCAGGATTTGGAAGTGATCAATTCGACGAGAGAGATGAAAAGGAGAAGTCACAGATGGCTTATTTCTTCAACAGGTTCTTTTTGTTCATCAGTATAGGAACACTCACGGCAGTTACTGTCCTTGTTTACCTAGAAGACAATGTTAGTCGAAGCCTGGCATACGGTATTTGCTCCTTGTCAATGTTCATAGCCATCTTTATCTTCTTTTCGGGGACAAGAAGATACAGGTATAAGAAAACAGTAAGGAGCCCTATAGTCCAAATCTCTCAAGTTATTGCAGCCGCTATAAGAAAGAGGAGGATGAATGTTCCTTACGACATTAACATGTTATACGAAACAAATCATGAAGCCTCAAGAATCCAGCACACTGATCAGTTTAGGTTAGTACGTGTATTTTTGTGATCAACATGGTATTGCTATATTTCGTATCTTTGCTAGCGCCAAACTTCGCTAATAATATCGCGATTTCTTCTTCTTCTTCTTTTTTTTTCGGTTTAGATTCCTGGATAAGGCTGCTATTGTTGCAGAAGATGATTTCTCTGAGAAAAAAGTTGCTGCATCTCCAAATCCTTGGAATCTATGCACAGTGACAAGAGTGGAAGAAGTGAAAATGATGGCCAGACTACTTCCCATTTGGGCCACAACAATCATTTTCTGGACGACTTATGCACAGATGATCACCTTTTCCGTTGACCAAGCATCCACCATGGAGAGATCAATTGGCAATTTCCAAATTCCAGCAGGATCAGTCACTGTATTTTTTGTAGCAGCCATTTTGATCACCTTGGCAGTCTATGACCGTCTCATTATGCCATTTTGGAAGAAATGGAAAGGCAAACCAGGTAGAGGCACAGCAAAATTTTTCACTGTACGGGCAAATTATTGTATAGTAATTTTATGCTAGAAAATAACGTAATAGACTCATTCATTCCGGAGCAAGGGTTGACAAATTAAAGTGGTCGAACCTTTTCGCTAAGCAATATATCAGAGTTCAAGTCTCGGGTCCCATTGTAATCATTAAGCATACCTCTTAACCCAAAATTTTTTGTGGGTATCATTTGTGGGCCGCAGGTTTCACCAGCCTACAGAGAATAGCTATAGGTCTGGTACTCTCGACGATCGGGATGGCAGCTGCTGCTCTAGTTGAGATGAAAAGATTGTCGGTCGCAAAATCCGCCGGGCGAACCACTGCAACATTGCCCATAAGCGTGTTTCTTCTGATCCCACAGTTCTTTCTGGTTGGTTCTGGAGAAGCATTCATCTACACCGGACAGCTTGATTTTTTCATAACACAATCGCCCAAAGGAATGAAAACCATGAGCACGGGCCTCTTCTTGACAACTCTATCACTTGGTTTCTTTTTCAGTAGCATGCTTGTATCCATAGTGAAGGGGGCGACAAGAAGCCATCGTGGTGAAGGATGGCTAGCCGATAAAATTAACTATGGAAGGCTCGATCTCTTCTATGCACTTCTAGCAGTACTGGGCGTCATAAATTTCGTAGTATATAGCATCTGTGCAGTTTGGTACAAGCCTAAGAAGCCAAATCCTGCCGTAGAAATGGGCAATGTTGCCAACGGTGCGGGTGCTGAGGAGAAATGTTAGTGACGTTTAGCCAAAACGTCTCCTCCAGTGACCTACGCTTGTGGGCAGACAAGGATGATGATTTTGAAGTTCGCTTGTCCTTTTCTTAATGTATAGTGAGTTGGTCAATGACTGTAATAAATCCATTTGGATTTGGAAAGAATGTATGGTTATTGGCTGCAAGAATCTCGTTCTTCTTCTTTTTACTTCCCATTCCAATCCACTTCTCGAGTATTTTATTTTAAGTCCACCTTCAAGTGTCAGAACTGGGCGTAATTTTGATCCTTTTTGCGACGAATACATGGGATGTTACATTATTCAGCGATATTCGGTATAGGAATAGAATTAATTTTTATAGACATACTATTAGATTCAATTTCAGTATAAGAAGGTCTTCTTTTTTTTTTTTTTTTTTTTTTTTTGGGTTTGGAGATTCAAAATTGGACCGGCAAGTGAATTGGATGAGTTTCGACTTCATACATAGTTCAATCTATTCATCCTCTGTTCAACAGATTTTAATATTTGTTTAAATCCAAAGAATCATAATTGGAAAGATTGAATTAATACACTCGCAAACACGCAAGTAAAAAGTATGCGTACAGATACAGATTTAATAAATGATGACATTTGTATCCTAAAAAAAAAAAAAGCGTGGGAGAAGAGGAATAATATCAACAATTTATATCAATGATCGCACACCATAATGATACTCTCAAATTTTCACTCCGATAACAATAATGATACTCCCTATTTATAAATAATATGAATTAATTCATATAATAAACAAGTCTTGACGACCAGAGCAAATCAACTAATAAAATACCCATTCCTAAACAATAAAAGTACCATGATATAAATAATAAAACTTGACTCGACTAAAATATCGCCACTAAACAATAGCATACAAACTTCTCTATTTTTTCTTATAATTGATTTACTTTATATGCCAATGGTATATTTAATTTATTTTAATATTGATAAATTGCACGACATTGAAATATTAAAAAAAGAAAAGAAAAAAATTGGTAGTAACCAGTTTAAAAACTCCACATTTTTACCATTTTGAACAGATTGTTCTTGACCTCTAGTTTAGCCAATTCAAAATTGACTTCAGAGGTTTATTACTACTAGTGAATTTGACCAGTGCTACGATTGGATGGTGATTTGATGATTTGTGTACTACGTACGTCAATGTTGACACCCTTCTCTGTCAATAATCTGCACCCGTAATTTGGAATCTTTTTGTCACAGAAAGAAAGGGCTTGTCCTTCAGCGAATTATGAGCGATCGTGAAGAATATTTTATCGCGCAGCATATTTCATATTTGGGAAAGACAAACAAGTCAAGTTTAACCCTATTTGCTTCCCTTCTTGCTCTCGCTAGAATGAATAAATCTTTGTGAAGGGTCCCCTGGAAAATGAGGGAAATCTTGGATTTGGGGAAGAAATTTTGCATTTCAGTCAAAGTTACAATTTGCTAACCACTGAGGCAGCTTGCCTCAGCGACCACCAGGAAAGGTGTTAAATCCCATCCTCTTTAGATTATAGATGGGAGTTTAAATTTTATTTACAGTAAAAAAAATTCAAAAATTATGCTAAAATACTTTGTTGATCTAGTAAGATCTGTATACCTGCTAATTTCAAATACAATTTTTTTAGACTCCGAATACAATAATCTCTTTAGATTATACAATAGCTGCCTGCCGTCCCCGAAAAAACAAAGGTCAAAGTTACGATTTGCTGTTTCCGAAGGAGTATTAAGGCAGGTGCATACAAGAAATAAAAAAAAAAAAAAGTCATAATCACGACAGAATTGTCAAATGTCGCACTGTTACACCGAAAGCTCCACGAGAGTCGAATGGCTATTTCGTGCAAAAAAGTCAGTCGTATCGATTTCTAACAATGCATTATTGCACTTGAAGAAGAAGAAGAACGTTCCCTCGTACGTGTGTCTCTTAGACCATACATTCGGGAGACAAATAATCACAGCCAGCCACAAATAATTTCGTCTTTTTGGTGACCATTATAGTAATACATCAAAAGGCAACTGTTAACAACCTTAATTAAACTGAGTTGTCGTTTGCATTTCTGTCGCTGATGCTTTCATTCCAATCGAAATCGATGCGATGGTTCCCTTTTCCCATATGGATTTTTCTAATTTCAATGGCGAATATAAAAAAAAAAGTATATTTCTTGGGAATTTTGTTTTCTAATTTCTTAGGATTTCTTATCCATACAAACAACGCCACTCATGTATAAAGTGGGGGCAAAAACACTCCATTCCAGATCTAATTATGCTCCAAATTCCCTTCTTAGAATACATAAATACCCGCAAAAAAAAAACCCAAAATAGCAATTAATGTAATTTGGATTCGCAGTGAAGTATTAATTATTTTGTAGTAAAGTTATCATTAAAAAGTGAAGATCGAATCACCAAATTGCAGTGGTACTTTTAATATGGTATAGATGTAGAAACACACGTATGAAAGTCCAAAAAAAAAAAAATTGCTAAAAAATATATGAATATTATTATGAATAGAGGTGGTGAAAAAACAAAAAAACAAAACAGAACTGACTTGAATCCACCTAGCGAACCACATCATGTTTTTTTGTTCTAACCCGACGATGCTCAACTCTTCAATGTCATGTCACAATGCGTGCTTTGACTTTTCAACAGTTTGCCCAACTTAAAGGGAATCTTTTGAATTATAGCAGCAGCTAGTCAAGCTTTCATCTACGCTCGTGTTCGGTGCCTTGACCACCTCGTCCCCCGAAAAAGGTTGACGTCGAGGGAGGGGATCTCTCCTGTCCTGAGCCCGAGGGTCAAAGCTCCACACGGGGACGGCGCCAAAGATACCGTCGCAGTTCAGCGGAAGGAAAGGTCGGGACAGCATATTGATAAAGGCGTTGCCTAGAAATGGGTCTTATTACTCACTACTATTATTATGCTGGCAGGGTGGCGCGATTGATGGCCTATGCAATTTTGCTGAGGAAAAAGGTTCCGTTCCTTCAACCGATCCAAGCAATCGTTTGATTGATAATGCAAAATTCCTATCTTCGCACAATTTGTATGGATGATGGATACCTGTCGGCTAGCACATGGTCCCAAAGTTTATGGTCTTTTTATTTTTTGTCATCGTCGCTTTATTTATGTTCTGATTTCTGAATATATTTTGCAACGGATGAATGGCCAATCCCTTCACTAAGGACGTCACTGAAGCAGAAAGCCACCACATCCGCAGCTAGACAAAGACCCCAGCATGAAAATCTGAAATAGATCTTAAGATTGAGCTCTATATCTCGTCATCAGAACTCAGTTGATTGTCTACCAGACAATGCACTGGAAACTTTACAAGATACCTAGCATACATTTTTATGCATAATAAGCCACACATCCTGTAAATAGCCAAATTGTATGCTGTCTATTTTACGAATTAGCCAGTCTTAAGGCTCAAATAGGCTTGAATTTGCTGAAATTTCAGAGCAGAGTGGAGCACCCATCTTCTAGCAAGCAGGCTCAGGTGATTTGCAGAAAAATTTGGACAAAAGAATAAAGCAAAGGATAGCATGCCTTGATGCAAGAACAGTAAACTTATAGGTCCTGGGTTGTAATCCCCCTTCCCCCTCCCTGCTTCTTAAATCCCAGCCCTCTCCTGCTAAATTTAAAAAAAATTTAAAAAAAAAAAAAAAAAAGTTATATCAGACAAGCTATATGACAAAGGAGTAAAAGAGGCCAAAAACTACAAGCTGAAGTAAATCAGCTCAAGGACCTGGTCTGGGGATATATTTCTGTCTGAAAGACTGCCTTTTAATCGGAAATGAAGTGGAAAATAAAACTCAGATGGTCACGAGAATATTTATGGAAGCAAGCACTGAATTAAACTTGAGCAACTTGACTTTAAAGGTTTGTTTGACCAACATCATCAGGTAATACTAATTGCATAAGCCCAAACAGAGTTCACGAAAATCCAAGTGCCCTTCAGAATTTCTGCAGCTACCATTAAAACATTACAACTTGATCTCATCGTATGATTGGTTTTAAAACCACAATCCAAATCCTCAACAGTAATTCTTCAAGGGATCCATAGGGGCAGACAAAAAGCAAAGAAATGAATCTACATTCCCCATGTGATAAGTTGACATATAACTGGTCCGTATATGAAGAAACACATTGATGATCGCTGCATAATCAATAAATGAATGTGAACAAATTCTTCTCATTTATAAGGAGCACAACTGTATTTCCAAGTAATGGTCAAACAAATCTCTGTGTCATCTCCTCTTGTCACGATTGTAAGCTTTTTTTTTTCCCCTAAGTGAGTCAATGTCCAGGAAAACAAATCTTTAGGGTGCACAATTATATCAAAAGTGTTTTCATCACAATTAAAGAAGACGAAATAGTTTATTAATAATGAAGAATATGCTTACAAGTTCATGTTTTAATGACTAATAGCCTAAGGTATAAAGGCAAAAAAACAAATTAACTTTCTAAAACAGTTCCTCAGGGAAGAAAAACAACTCACAAAACCTGAAACTGAAATGACATCTAGATACATAACATACTTCCAGCAAGAAAAGGAAAAAGATAAATAAAATATGCAGTACAAGTCAACTGTTAATGTTTCTGACAAAGCAGAGACTGGCGATGCATGCACAATAACTGAAGCCAAAACTGCGAAACAAGTATAACAGATCTAGGAAAACAAATAATGCAACGGAGAGTCTACCATATAACTAGTAAGATGCCAAAATATGCTCTTACCATCACAACTAGAAGCAGTATCATCTCTTACTGGATAATAAGGTAACTCAAGCCTTCCAAACTCTGACTTGGCTAATAAGATTCTAGTCACCAAAAGAACAGATATGGTAAATCCACAGGCACAAACTACAACTTGCACATGATATCAATCCTAGATAACCATTGAAATGTGGAGCATCAATGCATGTTCTATACCCAAAAAAAAAAAAAAAAATTGCCGACAAAAGAAATCTTAATCCAACAAACCGATAACCATCCAGATCATTGGCAAAAAAAGAGTTCTCATATATTAATATTATGTCAAAAGAAAGCTAATAAAGCGCCTCAAGTCATTCTCAAGCCACGTTCATGATTTGGCAATTTGAGAATGAACATCAATCTCATATCACCAAAAACATGACGTGCTAATACCCAAGATTAACGAACAATAAATTAGGAATCTAAAAAGGGACATTGTGAAAAGAAACTCCTAACATGGCATACCAAGAGAACAATCTAACCAGTCCTCTCCTTTCAATTCTTTGCTAATATCCCTCCTATCAAAATAACCATGATCAAATCAGGGATCAACAGATTAATCCTGTGACTCGGACTTCTTAGCACCAGACTCCTCTCTTTCCTCAAGCAACCTGCCAGCCTCTTCATCAGCTTGGGCAGCTTTCCTCTGTGCTTCCTCAGCTTCCTTAGCCTTCATTGCCACAAATTTAGCATGATTGTAATAACAGACTCCCAAGAAAGCCAGCGCATAGCCAATCAAGTTCACCGAGGTAACTGCATCCTTAATCACGGACCATGAAAATGCGATCAACAACCAATCCTTAACAACACCAGCCACATTCATTGTCAGAGCAGATGTCTTTCCAACGAGCAAAAACACCGCGAGATTCAGAGCAAAAGCACAGAAAGAATTGGTCCCAAATACGAAAAAATCAAGATGGAAACTTGAAGTCTCCTTCAACAAGGGATATTCCACGACCAACCAAGGACCAGTCAAGAAAACCAAACAGCATGGCGCAACATAGTACAGGGAAGTAATTGGATTCAAGGTGATCCCCTTTGAATTCAACAAAATCTGAATCATAACAAGCCTAGTTGCCTCAAAAGCCACAGCACCAAGCTGCAAAATAACCCCCCAGCTATCGAACTTGGCCTCCCCATAAGCAGCAATGGCAACCCCAACAGAGATGGAAACCATATTAGCCATGACATTAGTCTTAAATTGCTCTTTCTTAAAAAGGATCCCAATTGAATAAACAGCAACGGGCATCAAGGCCTTGAGCATTTGGATGAAAGAAACAGACAAATAAATATAAGCAGAATTAGAGAGCCATAGAGATACCGCATAAAGAAGACCAATGGGGACAACAGATTTGACATAGAGATCCCAAGACATGGAAACGGGTTCAACCAACTTGAAGACCCGGACGAGAAGGTACGCTAAGGAGGAGCAAAAGGCCATGTGGATCATGGTCAGGGAAATCGGGTAGGGCCAATTGTACATCTTGCGATCCAAGATGTACTTATTGTAGACGATAACAGTGAAGGATAAGAAGATCCAGATCGCCACATAGGTGTAGGACAAGATGATCTTCTTCAGAACGCCTTCGCTAACCCCTCCTTTCCCCATTGTTGCAGTTTTATTCTGTGAAAGAAAATCTCAGATGAAGGCTATGGAGATTTTCCTTATTCTTGGGAATTTTGGTGACCCTTTTTCGAGGACTTTGAGGTGGGATTTTTTGCAGATGAGAAAGGAGGTGCGGAGGCGTTACGGTGAAGGAGGGGGGCTTAGGGGCGGGGCGTGGGAGAGGGCCAGGTGTTGGAGAATATATGGAAAGTGAGAATGAGTACGGGAGGGACTTAAAGAAGTTGTGTGAATGTGGGATTTTGTGTTGGGGAAGTGTTTGACTTAGTTTGTTTGTACTAATTTGGTTGGGAATTGGACGCGATGTACAATACAACTTGGAAAATACATCCGAGCATTATTAAAAGCGGTAGTATTTAGACATCTTCTTCAGAAAATTGAATTAAATCTTATTGTGGCAAGTAAATCTTATTGTGCATGAATCCAATTGAATTTGATTAAAGTTTTTCTTTTCCTATGAGGATATTATTTGATTCGGGTTTATTGCTTTCCTTTTTAGGATGAGATGAGTTATGCACGCACCCACAAAAGCACGACTGAGCCTTTTTGGCTCGCCTTAATAATTTCCTCTGGGGTTCCTAACCTCCGCATGCATACGATACAACCTAATAATTAACTGTCTACATTGGATTTATGGGATTGTTTCTATTTTTGGCATGTTATTTTATTACTACTTGCTATGAACTTCAAGGGTAGCAATCCCTTTGGAAGCGTTCAATGAGATGAGACACCCAATATTTTTGTCGTCCAACACAAAAAGAACAAAAATGAGAAACACCAAAAAGTTAAAAGAGTATTGTTTAGATTGCACTATTTTTTGAAATTTTTTGGAAAAAAGATTGGAATCAATCTTTTTTACACTGACATTGTCAGTACTAGATGGATGAATGATAACTATACAAAATTTGAATTTGAATTCCAACCTTTGTATATGTGTCATGGATTCAACGGTGAAAGTACATACACTATCAGTGTATATAAGATTTATCCAAAAGATTATTATAACACGTTTGAAAATATAATGTATGCGAAGTAAAAAAAAAAACGATTTAGAAAATGGGTAAAATGAATGTTAACAAAAAAAAAAAAAATTCTCCAAAAACTAGCAGTCCAAGCAGAGCTTCATAAGTAGTAGATGTCAAACAACAGGAAACTAGCACTTGCCCGCTGCCCACTTGTTAGCATTCTCTAGTTACCTTTTGGATTTTTAATTAGTGGTAGAATGCAACAATGATAATTAATTGGCTACTAGAATAGCAAATTGGAAAAACCGGTATGTGCCTTCAAAACAATAATAACATGAAGGACTGCTTGCTGATTAGTGGTCTAATTACAAAGAAAAATCATGAAGGCAAAAGTCAAGGTATACCTTTTTATTTTTTTATTAAGAAAAAAAAAAAGAAAGAGAGTTAGTCCAATCCAATGCCACCCATAAATAATTAGCAGGTGGAAGTATTTTTCGTCTTCACGCTGGGCCCAGATATTCAAACTGTAATTGAATTCCCGTCGCGTGTTAGTCCTTCTTCTTTCTTTCCCCAGATCTCCTTCTTTTTTCTATCTAAAAAAAAAAAATCGTAAGTAGTCAAAAAGGATGGCCAAAATCGTTGAACAAATATGTCAGTCCGCATCTTTCACGCCAGCACCTTCCCTGTCAATCCCCAAATCCCTGGATCAATAAAATAAAATGGAAGCGTCCAAGAATTGTAGGTAGGTGAAATAGGACTACTAGGTGTTTTTTTTTTGATCCAGAAAAAGGATCTGGATTCACTTCAGGCCCCAACCCTTATTTGAATTGTTAGATTTTTTTTCATTTTTGTGATAAGGGTCGAACTCTGATGAATGCTCTAACTAGAGGTTACACCACCAGATCGGCTACCATGAACGGTCGACTGCTAGGTGGTGTTTTCTTTACCAAAATCTTGCAATTTTTCATAGCTAACATTATTGAATTGATTGTCATGACAAGGCATCCCCACTTCACCCATAAACCGAACTCGATTGATTGATAATGGTTTCGTGAAAGTAAAATTGCACCCTTTCATTAATTTCAAGTGAAAAAAATGGGATATCC